CGCGATTCCGAGCGAGCAAGATAATACGGAACCACACACCGCTAAAACTACTAATGTCAGACTGAGGAAATTTATAGCAGGAGATCATGTTTATGTACTTAATTTTCTCAGCGGATTGGTGAGCTGGATTCTCGGAGAGATTATAAAACGAGATAAATCAGTCAAAAATACATTCAGAGTGGGACATTTCGTATGGACTAAATATATCAACCATTACAGACCTAGGACCGGACGAAAGGACTTACCGGAACGCTCTTCTGATTGCATACCCATGGATTTACTGATGAATCACCGGATTACGAATACAAGTCCGGAAGACTTCAGCACCAGTCAACTTGATTGGCGACACTCACCAGGAACTCGAGATCAAATACGTCGGCTGGTCATCAACCTCAAGACTCAAATATGCCATTTTCTTATTTGATCTGTACAGGCTTGAAGATGAATCAATGAAAAGAATTCTTCGCCTCTAAATGTGTGTTCTCAAATTTATGAGTCGTCAGTGGTGTTTTCGATTACATCTTTTAAAAAGAGGAGGGTGTGATGCGCGCTTAAATTATGCCGCAGCTGATTTGAATTAGACTGCCCATCACTGGTCGGTTTCGCTTTCAACCTCACCAGTATTAGTAGTTCTAATGTTTATTGATCTGTATTTCATCCCTGTAAATCGTTTTGACATAATTACAGTCATCTGCTCAAATAATGGCATTGTTTTGTTTAATATACTGATTTGCATTCGATAATGACGTAGAGAAGCGAGTTTAATTTTTACTTTTCAGCATTGAACTTGATGGTGGGAAGGGGAGGAGTAAATAAATACAGGGCACGTAAGCTGTAGTCCAAAGTAGGAAACTCAACAACAATGCGCATCGCATGCACCTAATAGAAACTCCAGCTTTATTTTATCCGTGCCAAACGGTAGATATTGGCAACACACAATGTGGGTACCAGATTATAGAAACTTTCATTTTGAAAGGTTAAAAGAAAAATCCGAAAATTCCACAAACCAAGCAACTTTTGGAAAACGTATCACGTATTTAATGTAAATTGAAAGTATCGAACCAACGGATTTCATTGTTACAATCACAATTTCCTTTTCAACATATATATATATATATTTTACGGCTAAGAGCTTCAAGAAGGCAAAATAAATTAATGCATGAAATTTACAAATGACAAGCGGCACAAGCCTTGGAACACTTTGAATGTGAAAAACGCATGCCCAGCTAGACTAACGTTCATCTATCCAGTCAAACTTGCAACGTACCTGGATCCTCCCCTAGCATTGGCATATCGTCTGCGTATTCCAGTTCAGGCGATTTATCGCCTTAGAGAATATTGACCTCTTAATCCCCACACTTGAACTGAGGCATCTACTGCAAATTTATGAAGAAGAGAAATAGAAGATTTTCCCTGGTGAGCTCAGGCGAAAACGAGCCGTAGGTTCGAACGCGGTTTCGACTAGTCATATACCATAAACATACAAGAGTAGTGCGCTTCTCTAACTCATTGTTCAAGGATAAACAACGCTAGAGTACAGTTCGCTCGTCTAAGTCGAAGGTGGCTTTCACACCAAAAGATGTAAGAACGGTTTGGTTCAGTAAAGGAATCTCTATGTTGAAATACTTGTTTAGGGGTGCGCAGATCTCAATGGAAAGTTCTAAAGTGATATCAATCAGGTTAAGTCCTCTGTAGTTTTCGCCGGGGAATACATCTCTGTTTTGGCTAATCCATTCAAGAACCGGTTTACATCAATCATTGGGTAATTCTTTGATTTCCTATACTTTCTCACGCATATATAGTGGTTGGTTATCTTTCATCAATGAGTATATCACTGCTGCTCTAATTCAGGCTGTTAGTGGTTAATCCCAGAAATGGAAAATGGCGAGTATTTGTCGATGGACTTCATTTCGCAAACGGAGTCCAGTTACATCGTGACGGTCAATCGGTCTTAGTTGCTGAAACCACCCGAGGCCGGGTGGTTCGAATTCCCCTGGATGGCAAAACTCCGAGCACTGTTTTTGCAGATGGTCTTCCTGGCTTTCCCGATAACATTCGTCTGAGCCCGCGCGGTGGCTATTGGATTCCGGTGAACAATGTTCGCAACGGCTCACTGTTCTCCTGGATGATGGAGTTTTCACCGCAATGGCCAATTATTCGACGAATTGCGCACAGAGTAAGTTTATATGCAAGCTTGTGTGTGTTTGAATTGCCTGCCGAATGTCTGTTACTTTCAGCCGTCATGGCTTCAATTTGCCGACTGAGTAAGTGCAGTCGAGCCTCACAAAATCCTGGACGTAATCCAGAATCAACAGTTGATCGTTACCGTCGTTGTCACCTCACGGCGGATATCGCAGAACGCATGTCGTTTACAATTTCATCTAATAGACTACTGACTTGAGCAAAGTGAGTGCGCCTAGGCTTATCTACGGTCGGGTTCTTTCGGAATTATAAAACGAGATTAGGAACTGTAAGCACTCAGCCCCCGGATGGAATTCTAGATAGCCTTTCCGGCTTCTGTCCATAATGTAGATGGAACAGCAATTTTCGTTTGATTTTGTCAGACTGAATTGATTTCAGTATAAATACAGATTGTTTCTCATATCTCCTTGTCAGTTGCAACAATCATCGTAAAGAAAACAAGTGTTTTGTCTGTCCTTTTTGTGTTATTAAAAAGGAGGTTTATTCTTAGAAACCGTGTTTGATAGACAGCTTCTTGTTTCCTCTAGATCAAACAGAAGTGTGCTTCGGCTCTCAAGATCTCATTGCTTGGGTTGGTGGTTCGCAGAACCACACCGTAGGTCCCGATGACCATGGATATTCAATACCCCCTCCCATCTACTTGCTCTGCGTTGTTCTACGACTTATCATATCGCAAAATGTAATGCAGTAGTTTGATCAAAAAACGCAGTTATCAATGGATATTGCACAATTTGAGCATAGCGTAGCATGCGCTCAGTTTACCGAGATTTTATCGGTTCCTACTTGTTCGGGAATAACTGCTGTTTCAATGCATATGTTTCAGTGTCTTTAACAAGCCTATTTAGACTTAATTATCTATTTCAACCGCTAATGTTTCCCGCTCTTGGTTTGTCACCACGTCGCAGATCACTTCTCTGGTTCCATGGTTCGAGTTCGAAAAGTCAAAAACATCCATGTTACTCCGTGTGGATGAAGAGGGTCGGACAATCGAAGTGTGGCACGACCCGAAAAACCGCGTATCCAATGTGGCGGAAGTGTGCGAAGCAGATGGACATCTGTACACCGGTTCCTATTACCTGCCCTATATAGGAAAAGCAAAAATATGATTGTCGTTCGCCACCTTCTCTCGTGGTTGCCTTTTTTCTTGCTTTTGCTTCACGTGATATTTCCGTGTTTTCATTGTAAACTTGACGCTTCCTAACTGTATTTCCTGGAACCCACACCCCCTTATCGTCCACCAGTTACACTGTTTTCTATCATCGAGACGATTTCCGATAAATAACGCTCGCGTTATCAAAACTCCACGCTACACAACAGTATTTGATTGTTAAAAACGCATTCAATTTGTGAATTATCCTTTGGTTTTCCCCACTTGGATTAGCATACTATTTTTATCTAATCGTCGTACTACTTGACTTTTTTCAAATTAAAATATGCTTTGGTATTTGGATTGCGTTTTGTGTAAAATTGTTCCTCTCTTTTTCGAAAAATGACTAAGTCTTAGATTTTGAAAATGCTGATTTTGGTTCGAACAGAATAACTATGTTGTAGTTCTGCGATGGACAGTTCAGTTTCAGTTTTTACAACCATTAACCATGCGCTTTTGTGGGCTGGTTTTGGTTGCTGTCTTTTGGTGCTACATTTGGATAAAAGAGCAGAATGAAGATTGGGATGTTGTAAGCAAATTCAAGCGGAAGATGGAGAATTCATATGGAATAGTGTTAGGGGAATAATGAGTGGATGCATGAGCGCCACTGTTTGCGACACCCAGCCAAATCACTCAGTGTTTAACCATCGGTGACCATCATCTCAGGGTCCCCAACCAGGGAGCTAACAAGGCCTATATGACCCAGACTCCTGGTTGGGTTTTTCATACCCTAATGCCAGGTCTTCGTTTGACCACCCTTGACCTTTTTCCAACCGTTACCTGCATCGGCAAACATCGCTTGCGGTGGCAACCTTTTTTGTGACACGCGTAACACTGATCCCAACCAACGTAATATATGGAGGTCGACCACTTAATCCATGGGGCGACCGCGGTTACCCAAGACTCTGCGCCTAACCTCAACATTGCTCGTCCAGCTGCCCCACCAGATTCATGCAGTGCTGCGTGGACAGGGGTGTTCGAACACCGACAATCTATCTTTATCCTGTTCCCGTAATGGCCAAGTCTCTGCGATGGACATAATTCTATGCTTACTTTTTCGCGGTTGTCTAAGCTGCTATCACCTCGATGCTCTGATCTCCGAGCTCACGGGTATGACTTATGCAGGTTCGCTGTTGGTCAGTCTGGTCACAGCTCTGAACCATTTTATGCTCCAAATTCGTAGGATTTAGGTTACTGGTTTTCACAGTGACTACAGAATATCTAGCTTTCAATGTTCGCCATGCTGAGGTGTCCAACAAACAACTAGCCTCACAATAAATTCGTTCGTCTGTAAACATTGCAATATTTTGGGTAGATACAATCCTGCAAGACTTACCCTACACGCTTCACGAGTTTTGATTGCACATTTCCACCCAAGTCAAGAATGCGTGCAATCACGTGGTAGTGGTATTTTCAACATTTGGGGTCGTGGGATATCGTATCGTCGTTCAAGTGTGCACACAGTCCGGATTTGATAAAATAGTAAAAAAGAAAAAAACGGTCTGATCAGCTGCCCGGTGGCTGAGTGGGTGGCGCGTTTGCGTTCTGCCTGTGAGGGAGGTCCCCAGTTGGGTCGATGAATTCACACTACTGATGAGACCCAGCCAGGTCGGAAGAGCTGTCCAGTGTTTTTTAGCTTTTCAGTTCACGCTTCATTTGCTATATACACGATGAATTCACTATTGAAAATAGTAATGGTAGAAAAAGAACATGAAAAAACGAAACGATAATTTTATGGTGATTTTTTTCCGCTTCGGTGTTTATAACGGAACCATTTCTGGTTGGATATGGTGGTATAATAAGTACAGTGAGATATACCAATTTTCAGAACGAAACTGTATTAACCGTAGTCAACACGGTTTCAAATGTTTACGACTTCTATGGTTTTTGTGTCAACATACCATCTTACTTGGTAACTTTGATAAATGTTCTCGGTATTCTTTTTACAAGGTCCATAATTGTCCCTTAACCGAACGACAGCAACCACAATCGGAGCACGAAAATGCATGGTTAATGGTTGTAAAAGACTGAAACTGTGACTTGGTCAATATTCTCTGATCGGGATGATGATAGGGGGGATGTCATGTTGGAATTTAATGATTGAACCAAATTTGGTCTGACGTACAAATGCATGCAGAGGAATTTTACATGTTCGCACGTTTTACTGGCCTACTTTGGTTGTCGGCTAAGAAGGCTTCCTAAGTCATCACTGGTTTCCTATCATTTCTTTAATTTCAGGCTTTACTCCTATTCAGACATACTGCTAGAAATGATCTCACGCATGTCTAGTCCATCCAGATCATTTTTTCTTCGCTGGACTAAAGATTTTCCACTTATCAGTTCGTACCACGTGTTTTCAGTCTGATAGGATTTGCAACTGTGCGGAAACATATCCTTCTCATCCATGGCACTCCTTTTAACCTTCTGCTTACCGTTTCGAAGTTCCAACCACGATCAAAGATCTCAGTGTCAGCATGGAATGTGCATCGTTGGAGGCAAGATAAAGTAATCTGTGTTCATTGGATTTCGTTAGATTTTTGTTGTTGGGGGGACGATCGTCATCATCGTCGTACAGCGAAATACACGGAAGCGAACTTCACTGATCGCTGCTAAACTCGCACTGCATATGCATTGGTGTTTGATGGACGGGTACTACTGGGGTGTCCAGCCACTAAGCAGGAGCACGATTAGGGTTCTCACCCAAAGCCTTTAGTTCTGACAAGAACCTAGCCGCAAGGAAGCTAAGTGGAGGCCCATTTACTTGGATCAATTACTCTTCTACCATTTTGACCAACTGAAACGCAAATTCTAGTCGAACCTCCG